TTGGAGTAGCTGATGGATAGACAATATCTGTAGAAAATAAATTTTGATGGAAGTGAAAATTGCTTGTTTTCGAGTTTCCTTATATGAAATTTTTAGTTTATACAGTAGTGAAAGTTCACTAACATAGACATTTTAGATCTAAAATAAATAATTTATGAAGATAAATATATTCGTCCAGAAATTAAGAAAAATTTTTACTTTCTATGAAATCTTACCGAATCATCGTATGTAAAGTAAAAAAGAAATAGTTGTTTTTACAATAAATAAATAAATAATAAATAGCACAAAAACAGTCCTCCTCATACGATACAGCATAGTCAATTTATTGCAAGTACCACAATTACCACAATTCTATCTTTTTGAGGTCTAACATTATTTTGCATTTAAGAACTTTTACTGTGTACCACTTCAAGAACTATTAACATTAATATATGATCATTGTGATTATGGTGGGATCTGTTTGAACTGAGATTTTGGAAGTGAATATGTTTTCCTAAAAATAAACAAGATTAAAAATTTTAATTTTAGGATACAGCGCTTTATTAATGAACTAACAGATATATAAGAAAGAAAAGTAGAAATGAGATTTCCCACCTTGCTTCACTTGTAAATTTTAAGCACGCTTGTGCTTAACCCAAAAGCGAATTTGAAAATGTATACAGTGTATTCTGAAGAATTGTTATGAATATATCATACTCACAGCAGTAGCCTGGGATATTCTGTTTTTTGCCAGTCCTTCGAAAATTTATTATTACCCTAAAACATTTGTAGGTTATAAAAAGTGACATTTCTTTTTTAATTTGAAATTATTCTTTAAAGTAAAATATATGAGTTTTAAACCTAGAAAAGCTTGAGAATTGATGAAACTGAAAGAAATATTCTCTCAGATATGATATTTGTTTCATGTATTATTTTTCAATACTTATCTTTCAGTTTAACAATGCACACATACATGTCTATAAAGCATCTGTTACTTTGCTTATCCATTAATGGCTGATGATATATAACAGCAATGAGCATTGGTAAGTGAACCCACATGTGACAAGAATATGGGCTAGTGTCCTTAAGAAAGTCGGGTACTTCAACCTGAGTTAGATTACAGGCGAAAAGGCTGGCTACATGGGCTTTTTAGTTGTCCCCCCCCCCATATGTAAAGTGAGTACGACCTGGGGTTTCTTAGAAAGCTTTCCGTTTTCATAAGTAGATAGCTCTCGTGTGCTTTACCACAATCAAAGAGACCAAACCAAACATTGAAAGCATCATTCCAAAATCAAGTAAACAAATATTTTCAGACTTGTTAAAAATTATTAAAAGGCTTACAAACAATATTTATTTGTATCATAAAAGTATGACAGATAAGAAGGGCAGCAGTTGCTGAAAAATTGGAAATTAATCCTTAAATAGGAAAAATGTATACATTTATTTTAACTTTGGTATTAAAGAGTCAAGGGCGTTTAGTGGTTTAAATTACTCTTATAAACCAACTTGTTATATGAACAAAAACCGGGTGCGAATCTGCGTCACGATGCACTAGTGTGCCATAAAATCGAGGGGGAATTGTTGCGAAGTTTTACAGTTAAATATACTTTTCATGGTTTCGTTAAGAAAGCATATACATGTACGTATAAGCTTATATACATATATATAAAGCTTTAAGGAAGCTTTATATATACTATTGCATATTTACAATGAAGTTAAGACAAGGTGTTTCAATTCAAATTGGGAGATTTTTAGTCTTCTCTTTCCGTTTGGTCTCGGAATGAGAAAAAATAGAAATATATCGTGCATTTTCATGGCAAGACTAACTATCATTACTACCTTCTTTGTTTATAAGCAAAGCATATGTTTGAATAATGAGAAAATTAATAAATTGAATTGAAAATTTCTAAAGTTGAATTTTAGAAGTTTGCACAGACCGGAGGTTATTAGACGGAGGGTTGCAATCAAACTCATTAGTCAGATTTCAGTTTAGAACTCTATTAAACTTACCTGAATCAACATTCTCTGGAATAAAAGTAGAGGAATTCAGACGAAACACAGACTAGTGGATCTCCAAGATCAATCGCTTGTTAATATTTATATTGAATAAAGTACATGTCTAGACAAATTCCTTGAAAACATTAAGTACAGACTTCAGATTAATTATAAAATTTTAATGCAATATTAATAATAACTCAAAATTCAAATCAGTAGGGCACAAAATCATTGCAGTCTAATTAAGTAAGCAATTAATGCAAAAAAAAGTACTGGACTAAGCCATAGTTTTTCTTGAGATTTTTTAGGACATAAACCGCTTCCAGACATGTCTGGAAATAATGCAGCACTATTTGGGGAATAAAACTATCCAGTTTTTATGAATAAAACTGCAATCTTAGGAATTATTTAGCTGAAGCAATGGAAGAAAACATTGAAATAAAATACAACAGAACTGGAGCTAAAGATAACAGCAAACTGAACTAAAAGAAAATTAGTTTTATAATTACTGTATTGTAACTTGAGAGTTCTAGAGATTAATTCTTTTAGCAACCGTGTGGTATGAAAATCTCCTTACCAAAACTATTTCTTCTGTATATTTAAATAAAATATAAACTTCAGTAAAGGAGGTGAAAGGAATTAATCAAGACAGATGGGCTTTGGGGCAAGGGGAAATTCACTTATTAAACCGATTAAATATAACGATTTATCTGTACGTAATATTTTATGCAAAAGCAAAGTATCGATTAATCGTTACTTTTATCGATTATGTTTCCCAAAGTTTTCTTTTAATTTTATGTTATTTAGGTTTTCCTGGTTCTTGGTGTGAAAGGAAATTACGGATCCTTGATCAAGCATAGTAGGCTTTTTTTTGTGACTGGCCTCACTGTATCATTTATGTTTACGGATAATACTTCACACGTTTCACAGGAAAATTCTATAGACATTGTAATTACTGAAGCTTAATATTCAGGTTGCTAAAACTGCAGGAATTTAAGAAGTACGTAATCTTATATTATTAATTTTTTTCCCGAAGCTGAATGAAACGTTCATAGAATTTCAATGTTTCATTGCTTGTTAGATACATTTTTGTAAATGTATTTATCATACATATTCGTATAATAAATAATAGATTAAGTAGTTAGAAAAGTTATGTTCAATTAGTATGCTATTTAATAAATAATTTATTCATATTAGCCCTTTAAAATTACAATAAATTTCATGTGTGCTCACTGGCATGCATATTTAATTACATTAAATATCATAAAATTTAATCATTCAGTTTCTTTAGTTTAAGAAATCAAGATATCATAAAACTAAATGCATTAACGAAACATTCATTAACATTTGATCTAAACAAGAAAGGATTATAATATTTCTGAAATCATAAATTGTAGGGTCTACTTGTTTAATTTTTAAATGAGAACTTTAAGAGTTAGTAACTGTACAGGAGAAGGGTTAAAAGTACCCTTTATTAACTCTTTGAAATTTACAATGCGTTAACTTTACGCCAAGACACTATGCCTCCCTTGGGCAGTAACTGAAATCACAGAACTAAACTAAATATTCGAAAATATGCACAAGCAGTAGAATTAAGCTACAGGGATCAGATAATTCCTGTTTTTTAAACCCGTATCGAAACTATAAGTAAACAAGTAAATGCAGTTATGCCACGTAAACCTGCAGCAGAAGCTTACGCAACAGAGGTGATGGAAAAAGCCTAACTCTCTCCAAATTTCTTACTGAACCTCAGTTTTTAAACTCTTTCTTCACAACGTAGAATTTGCATTCTTTCACGCGCGCTACCAAATTTCAATATTCTGGCATTGACAAATAGGGGAATGAAGGCTTATAGGAAAGATTAAAATTAAACTTTAATTTGTTAGTTAAAATAAATATAAGTCGCTACAAAATAAACATCTATATTAATAATTGTAATATTATTCTGAACGATGATTACAACTTAACACAGCCAGGATCCTTATATATAGATTAAGCAATCACTAAAATGTCTAATTTTACTTTTTAATTGAAATATTTTATGTACTAAGCACATAACGAAATTACGCTTCCAGTTATTTCTATAACACCAAAGCTATTTTAATGGAACACATAAGTTAATCATCAATTTTATCCTTTCTTAGTGGAATGCAGTTATTATATAAAATAAATCAGCGTTTATGATAGAGTATTCCTAAAAAGATTCGTTCATTTCTATACTATTTAAAATTACTTTTTTTTATTTCCTCCTTGAGAAGCTGGTAATTTATAACAAATCTAAGTTCAAATAATGCCAAAATAGTTATTTTCTATTTTTGGTGTAATCGGTTGATTTCGAAATTGACGATTAAAAATGCATATATGCACGTGGTACTTTTACCTTAAGTTTCGTAATTCTTAAGTAATTTACCTTAGATTAAGGTATTTGTGAAATAAAAAGTAAAAACATTAAATTTGAAAACACAATTAAATGTGATTAAAAGATGATATTAATGGTGTGCATTTATGGGTTACTTGGATTTGAGAAGCAAAGCAGTTGTGAAGAAATTTAAAGCTTTGCCTTTCACAAGAAACTTTAAATCTCATTTCATATAAATACCGTTTATATAAATAAGCTAGCTGAAAGGCCTACCATTACCCGACCAAGTACGATGTCTAAAAAAAGTATTTTGAAGAAGCAGATTGGACAGAAAAGTAAGGCAAAAGCCATTAGCGACAATGCTGCAAAAGGAAGTGACTATAAAATCTTCTCGAGACTTTGGATCGTAAATTTTGATTTCGAAACGTGGTATGCAATTTCTTAATCCCTTTATCAAGTACATTTTTAAAAGCTTATGCGTCTCAGAGGAGCCTGGCTCACCATTTTCCATCCCCTCGCAATCAGACAAATGCAAATATTCCGATAAGACACGGGTAAGCTATATCGACCAATCTGATTTTGGCAGACCCAAAGGACCGATAAAAATGTACATGCAGTTTTCATTTGCTTCTTTAGGAACGACTGCAGAGACCAGATTTCTCGAAAAAAGCCATAATATATCAATTCTTCTCAAGTCTTGTGCTATTTCGTATTATCAGCCGAAAGATTAGGGATCAGAAAAGCCAGTGAGATGCATTTTAAAATCGAGAAAATATACAGATTATTTTTCAACAAAATGTTGAACATTAGCACTGCGCAAAATGGAAACAGTTTTACCTAAGAAGTTATCTAAACTGAGCTTCAGAATTTTATGCAGCAGATATGACTAAATCTTCGCTGTTTTATTAAGTTATTTTGAAGTGTTAAAATCTCAGGTATACTACAGATTATTTTCAATTAAAGCATGAAGAACGAATTAAGTTTTAGTTTTGGTGAAGGGGATGTGCATTTCAGTATTCTGCATACTAACATTTCGCTGACAGCATGGTCAATATTCTGAGACATTTTAAAATACTAAGAATTCCTTCTTCATTTGATCCACATCCAATTAGTACCTGATTAATAAGTATGGAACTGTACTCGTTTGAAATCGGATCTGCCATTTTGTATAATCTTGTACTTTAAAAGATGCGATTTTCGTTCATTAATATTATGACATTTGGGTACTTACGTATTATCGAACCACCTTCGTAGAAGTCGCAAATTCTGCCAGCCATCCGCATAACAGTTCTTTAGGTAACTATATCCATTGTAAGTTGCAATCCGAAAATTCACTGAATCACCTTTTTCTTCTGTGATTGAGTTAATACGTAAGTATGGTTTTTATTCATGCACTCTATAAATCTTGAAGATCATAGCTGATATAACATCAGTAGTCGAAAAGGCTATAACTATATGAAAATGTTTTGGATACATAAAAGGCAGAAAATATTATTCGTGTAAAAATGCCTTAAATCTCTTATTATAACATAAAGAGAAATGGAATTATTTAATTGGAGTTTAATTGAAGCATATACTGTAATTTACGATTACATTGCATTTTTAATAAGTATCTCAGCATTTAGAATTCCTTCTACATTCTATTGGTACAGTAATAGAATATAGAAGACACGTAATTAATAAAATCAGTTTGTTGTTATTATTCAGGGTTTTTGTGAATGTAGATATTATTTTACACATATTAATCAGTTCTTCAAAAAGTTTAAAAAATATGTTGCAGTTAGTTTGCTTGCGTAGACTTGTAATTTTCAAAATTGGTTTTTTTATTTGCTTTCTCAGCTAAAAATAAACTATGTATGCATACATCAAAAGACATTCAGAGCTTATTGCGTGTCAAATTGCTAAAACTCAGCGAATGTACAGCATGCTTAAAATCTAAGGAATTACGTGTGATGTAGTTAGGTCAATTAAACACAATTTCGGATACTTGAATGGTTAGCCAAGGCAAAATATGTGAAAAATCCAAGTTTCGTCAGTATATCTGTGAGATTTGTATCAGCAAGCAAAGCGGTGCTAACTGCTAGAAAAATGTTTCTAACATTTGGCCAAGCAATTGCTGTAATATCTGTAATGTAAAATTCTGTTATCTTCTTTTAATCTCCCAAAGTAACTCATCTCGGCTCCTTGGATTTCAAATGATTCGTTAGCACATTTACGTTTCTCTTTAGAATATTATTCCATATCAATGTTTTCCTGAATTACGCAAATAAAAATGTAATTGCAGAATACTGATGTACTTTGCAACATTTAGTAAAATCTCCTTGTTTATCTTAATAAAAGATATTTTACATGTCCATTCATCGTTTCAATCAAAATAAATATCGTATTTTACGGCGTAAATATTTTTTACATAAAAGATAAACATATAACTTTATTGAGACTTTTATGTTCTATTTTTGAAAGCGAATCGAGGTATTGTATACAGAATAAGAGAAAATATAAAAAATGCACCTTCCTAAGGCAAGAGTAGTAAATTAATTGTTAGGTACATAGTATGCTGTATAGCTTTACTCATTTTGAAAGAAGAATAACATGTTTATTACACATACATTTGAACGCAATTGAAATGTATTGAACACGGTTAAGAAGTCAGTGTTTTGGATTCACAAAATAGCATTCACCTTGTAGAGACATTAGGACTGAATTAACAACAGAGTTTTGAAAACGTTTAAAACAACCTGTAGAGACATTAGGCCATTTCGAAGCAGTAAAAATGAAAAATTAGCAACCGCCTTCGCGGGGAATTGAACCACGGACCTCTGAAATACCGGCCCAGCGTGCAGAACCACTACACCACGAAGGCACGCTAGGAAGGCGGGAGAAATAACTTATAACCTCTTCAATACAAAGTCTTGAAGTTGCTTACTTTTATAATGGATTCTTTGCTGCAATCTCCCAGGTACACTTACCATGATGCGATGTAGAATGTCCTGCATAATATTACTTGCAATCTTCTAACGAATAGCATTTTTAAGACTTTTATTTTCGGATAGCTTGTGAAGGAAAACTTGAACTTTAAATAATATCCATGAAAAGTCTGCTGTATTTGTCGGGTGATTTCTCCTTCGGTATGGTAACATTTAGTGGCTCTCATTTAATTCTCTGACGTTTCCTGCAACAGAATTTTTATGGGAGTATTAGAAAGCTGAAGATGTCACGCATAACCTGACTTAAAAACTGCTTTAAAAAGGAAATTTGTTAGAAGACTGCGAAGGTCAGGACACTGTACATCGCGACATAGTAAATGTATCTAGGAGATGGCAGCAATGCACTGATTATCGTTTCAGACCTCTGTATTGAAGAAGGGAGGCCTGTCTTATAAGTCTGTAGAGACATTAGGTTATTTCGAGGCCGAACAGATGAAAAATGAGCAATCGCCTTCGCCGGGAATCCAACCTAGAATACCGGCTCAGCGTGCAGAACCACTACGCCACGAAGGCACGCTAGGAAGGCGGGAGAAATACCTTATATGTCTAAGACATTTCTTTATTTAACGTTGCTAAGATGCATTTATCGATGTACACAAATGAAGCATCCTATTTTGAAAATGAATAAATTTAAATCCCCCCCCCGTATGTGCTTTTAACTCTAGAAGTTACGAAAGTGCATTTTTACCTGGATGTAAATTTTTGTGTTGATTATTAAAATACATAACCGTTAATTTATTCAAATATTTCTATTAAGTGATAACGAAGGAAAATTTGATGAAATTTCGTAAGTATTGCATACAATCTATTGTTAAAAAAAAAATTAAGCTGCGTTTTTATTTTTTATGGGCATTAAACAATACAAAGTAGGTTATTTTAATTTATTTGAAGTTTTGGTTGAAAATAAATAGCTGCTCATATTACTGATAATAGATGCTGATAGTTGTTTTAATGTGATGCGAATTATAATTTAGTCTTGTTAGAAAAGAGTGAAGGAAACACATTTTGTGTTTTCTTCATTCAAAACATCATCTCAAAGTGAATGTATGTCAAGAACAAAATGAGCATTTCGAGGTAATCATTTTTAGCTTTAAGGAAAATGGCAAACTTGATACACAAATGTATGTTGCCGGTCGGTTATTAATATCATTAAGTTTACACGTACATGTAATTTCAATTTCATTTGTGACATCAACCGTCTACACTTTGGAAAAAAAGAAATTCAAAAATAAAAGTTTTTTATAGGAACCAGCGGCATGATTGCAGCATTATAAGTAGTTGAAAAGTAACTGGAAAACATTTCCAAAAATACGAGGGCTGAAATTGACAGTAAAAAAGGTAAAAAAAATTACATGGTTTTAGTTAATCCACGTTATGTCTCAACTATACGTTACTCATAGCTTCCTACGCTGAATTATTGAAATACAAATACTAAAGTTATTACTGAAATAAAGGTAGGACTAACACTGTCACTATGTAGGTATAATTTACTGGTGCTCTTTGCACATTATAAAAAACTGCTGAGCATATTATTTGAAGAAATTAGTTTAAATATTAATTAACAATTGTTGTACAGAAATTGAAAGGTGACACAAGTATAAATTTTATGGTTTGGCTTATTTCATTACGGCAAAGAACACGCGGGCTATCTGCCTAATGGGAGGGATGCTTTCATGTAGGACTTTCTAAGTTAAACTGGCTTGTATGTATATATGTTACACATGGAGTAAACCACCAAGACAACCATATAATCAGTCCGTTTACCGGGATTCGAGCCGAGGACCAAACTACCAGTGTTTAGCTACTTCACCGTTCGGCCACTTTTGGGCCCATAAATTTCATACTTGAGTTTTAATATAACAAGGGAAAGCATAAATGAAAATAAAGCACGGTTTTAACATTCCCGTTTTTATTAGCTTGACTAAATCCTCATTTGTTGTGATTAATTTACCCTAATATCAATGATGTAATTTTATAAGCGCAGCATATGAATATATTAAAATTTCCATTATGACCATATTTTAATTTTAAAAAATTCTGAGATTTTTGAAGTTTTCCGGTTAGACCTGATTGAACCATTTTTTAGGCAACTCTTTACCCCTCCTCCCCCAGAAAAATATTGTATACATAAATTGGTTTATAGCGAATATGCTAGGTCATATTTGCTAAAAATGTTGGCGTAAAGCTTTAGAGAGCAAATGAATTAGAATATGCATCAACGTAGGTATACAGGCCTGCAAACACTCTCTCTTTTCCTCTTTTGTATCGTTATCTAATAACGGAAGTGTCTGGGGACAGAGAAAACCTTTCACTCAGCACGACAGCACTATCCTTCCTTTTCGGCGCCAGCATATCAGCATTGTTTGTCTCGCACTATCACCTTATACAGACATCTTGTTGTGAGCGGTTTCTTTTAACGAGAGGTTTTCGTGACATGGAGGAAATTAATTTAACTCTATGTTATTAGTAAATATGAAGAAAGTGCTCCACGTTCTTGACCTGTATATATATATATATATATATATGCGTGTGTGTGTGTGTGTGTACGGAATAGTATACTTATGGCTAAGAATTGTAATGAATTTCTCTTTAAATGAAAATGATATGGCTGACAGAGTGAAATATGAAAATTATACCCTAGCAGATCTTGGACAAAAATTTAAATTCAAAAATATATTCTTTAAAAGTCTAGTCTTATTTAGCTGATTCTTGTTCATTTGGAAAGGGCAAAGAACACAAGGGTTATTTTGTCAAAATGTAGTAACATTTTCGTGAATGAAGTTCCATGCGAATCTGATTGTATTCACATCACATATAAAAAACCAAGGATGCACTGATGTGGCCAGCCCAGTCCCCAGAATTCGAACATAAGCCTAACTAAAATTGTTTAAGGTCTTACCCACTTGGCTAACCCTTAGGAAGGTTGGCTAGACAATTTCATTAATGTGTTCATTAATGTGTAATGTGTGTTTCATTAATGTTTCATTAATGTGTAGTATGTGAATCAATAAAGGGGAAATTCTGGTCTCTACTCCAGTATGAAGTAAAGATTTCTAAAGCATTAATCTTAAAGAAAAATATAGAATTTCGCAATCTTCGTGATTCAAGGATACAGAAATTGTCGTACGTGCCAGCACCGTTTAGAGCCACAGAGTAGCATAAATAACATGTCTGTGAAGTTTAAGGCATTCTATTATCAATAAAGTGTACTTGCACCATGATAAAGCTATGTCTTCCACAGTATGCTAATATTGCTGGAAAAGGTAGATTGTGAGCCTACCTGGACCACAAGTAGGAAGTGATGGCACTGAACCACTGATGGGAGTATTACATATATCACACAATAATATTTAAGTTCTGAACGGAAAAGACGTTGAAGAGAT